AATTCAGTACGATCGTCATCATCAGGGTTTAACAGATCTTCGAGTCGAATCTTATCAGGAATAGATATTATTCTCTTTGCATAATTAAGAACACTTGAAAGGCCTTCGACTATCTAATTACAACAATTAATTGACGCGTTTTAATTTATATAATCGTTATTGAATGTAAATGAATAATTTTAACATAATCGTATATTGAATATTACCGATTCGACATTACTTTTAGATTCCACAACTAACAATAAAATCTTTAAAACTTTTCGGATTACTGGATGATACCCATGATTCAACAGATTACATATCTAAAAATTGATTTAACAATAAGTAACTTATAAAATAATGTCATTATATCAATGATGCTATAAATAAATAAACATACATGAGCCATGTTTACATCAATTTTTTTTGAAAGACTCTTAATAACATTTATTATTTCATTGATAGATTCGACGTCGATCATATTAGCAGTCTGTTCAATTTTTTTTATATCAGCGATTATGGAGAGACTTGGCACCAAAATTTCATTAGGAACTGTCTAGCATATGACAATTGTTTATTAATAAATAAAAAATTATAATTATAAATTAAAAAAGATATATATACACGTACCTGAAAAGCCGTACTATGACTATTAACTATGTAATTTTCTATAATGAAGCATTTATTTAACATGCACAAGATACGCCAACCAGCATGATGAACAATTCTTTCTTCAAAACATTCATCTATATCTTGCAATAACTGATGCCTAAAATCCTTCAAAATGTGATGGTAAATTTCAAGCACAGCATCTATTCCTGTGCCAAAAGAAATATTCAGATTATTTTCAAGAAATGCATAGTGAATGTTATGAAGGTCGGATATTAAGGATTCTTGAGTTTCTATCACATCAAATTGATCTAAATCCTAAAGTTAATGAATGAATTGATATTAATCAGCTGCATTTCCTTTAAAGCATAAAATATTGAAATATCCGTTAATTTTACCTCTTTATTCGACAAAAGTAAGATCCATTGGATTAATAATTTTTGGACTGTGTACACAACAAATTTATTATTGTTTGTAAGAAATTGCAGCTGTGAATATAGTAAATGATGATGGAGTAAGAATGAGATAGAAAAAATATTTAAATTTTAGTAATAGAATATACCAAGATTTGTTGATGCTTTGCTATAATACTGCAGTACAAAAGTGCATTCTCGTCAGAAGCAATAGATGCGTTTTGATAGCAAGTTTTTAATATTTTATTGATACTGCAAAGTGTATCTAAAAATATCTCGGGATTTTGAATAACTATGTTCTTTAAAGATTGGGATAGTTTTAAGGAAAAGATTAATTGATCAAAAAATTTTCTAAATTAAAAATGCAAAATATTAAAATAATACCTTTAAAAAAGTTCTAAGGCATTCTACTTGGTGAGCTGATATACGTGAATTTTTGATTGTATCCATATTATTTCAAATGTGTACAGTACAATTAAAGTTACGTACGTACATACATATTATTGCATTGGCGAATTTGAAGGCATACCTATATATATCTCAATAAAAAGATGGGTTAAGGCATCTCACGAAATCACCCGTAAATACGGGTGATCCAGTAACACGGTTGAACCTTAAACTAGTTTGTATCCTGTGT